CACACACACACACACACACACACACACACACACACACACACACACACACACACACACACACAAAACAAAGACAAAATTAGTCAAGTAATAATATTTTATATTCTAATTTTTTCAATTAACCTGATTCGACGAGTTGAATCTATTTCTATAGTAATCAAAATGTTTTCTGATGTTAACAGATAGAAGGTGCAAACTTCATATACAATCTCAGCCAGACACCAACTTTGAAAATTCTAAACGTCAAGGCGAATCCTAATCGAATCCCACAATGCTCATCTTTCAAGTTTCCATCGGACCATTACTGGAAATGCCACGCAAGATTCTACACATCAACGATCTATCATCCGTGTGGGACTTGCAAGATGGGCCCAGCGACTGACAAGATGGCCGTCGTGGATCACAGACTTAAAGTACACGGAATTAAGGGACTGCGAGTGGTTGACGCGTCGATCATGCCGAATATCACCTCTGGAAACACGAATACACCGGTTATTATGATTGTTGAGAAAGCTGCAGATATGATCAAGGAGAACTGGAAACTGTAGATATAGATTATCGATTGAGTGTAGCCTTGTAGAACTGTCGAAATGGAAATTCTTGGCGTTGTAGATAACAATTTATTTTAACAAATATTTTCATAATATAGGTGAAGGTAATAAATTATTTTAATCTCAAGAAAATAATTTGTTCATAGTGGCTTGTTAATTGCAAACCGAATTGGATCCGAATATTTCTTCCAATTAAAAAGTTTCTTATGCAAATCGAGATCCATTTAAATATCTTAAGTGCTCGGTAAACTGTATTAAGTGTTTTTTTGTTTCTGGATTAAATTTTGGAAACATTGAAATTTCATAATATAATTATATATAATTTCATGATACGACAACTTCTGAAATTGTTATTTAAAAGGAAATTATCTAACTTCTTTTACATACAGCACAATCATATCAAAAATTCAGTTAATAGGTTTCCTGTAAGAAAAGTGTTAGTCATTCGAATTAATTTCAAGAAATTTCAAGCTAATCTGCAAGAAGAATTTTTTAAGATGTTAATTGGATTGTTTTATATAGTTGTTAAATATTTCTTAATTTTTTAAAAAGTATCGACACTTCATCTCAATGATCTTGACATGTTGTAGCAACGCGATTGCATTATCTCTGTCAGAATTTCCACAGGATAACGTGTTGCGCAAAGTTGCAAATGTATCATCGATTTTATTGTTCCAATTTTGTACTTGTGCGTCTACTCGCAGCATGAAAATCCTGTCGTGTAGGAAATAACGTGGTTTAACACAATAATAATGCAGGCATGCAGCGAATACTATGTTAACATGTATTTCCTACTACGTAGGGATGATAATACATCGTGGAGCTCGAACTAGATAGCGTTTTGCCTAAGCTACAATTCGGACAAGGATGACGAGTCGATCCCTGTTTTCGCAGGATCACACCTCTACCTCGATCACTACCACTGCAGAATCGTCGGTATTTTCCCTAGACATCTTTCTGCAAGCCATTCGTTGCGTTATCGCCGCAGAGTTTCAAGGAGTACTCGTATCTAGAGTATGTCGTTCTTCCTCGACGATCGACTGTCTTCGGTCCACCAGGGCCACTTAAAATTCCAGGATTGACGGAGAAACTACAGTAATTTCTCCTGGCAATAGCAAATTTCGGATTGTTGTGAATTTTCGTGTGCTAGTCCTACGAATATTTAATTTGTTACTATGTCGATGCTAAGGATCGGCGGAATCGGTCAAGCGTGTGATACAAAAATGGTCTGCAAAATGATTTGTTGGATCTAAGTCAGGTAAGAAAAATCGTGGAGTTACAAGGCACGTGACCGTCGAATCGTGGCAGGTGGAGTGCGAATTGCCTTTGAATCGTGGCATGTGGCCTCCGAATTGCCATCGAATCGTGGCAAAAAATTAGAAATAAAAAAGTTAAATCATCGTTTTCATTCTAGAATTGTTATGTATTTATATTAATGTACACCGGCATGCTGGCCGCTGCCTTTTCTTGTCGACTGCCCCGAGATTCTATAAAAACGAGCTGCGAGGCCTGAAGAATCGCGCCTTAGTATTCTCGAATCTGCTGGTTTCAATTCCGGCCTCCGAACATTTCTGAGAAAAACTAATGTATCTCCCTTCGTATTCATTATCTGTCGTTTCTTATACGAATATTTTTTCAACTCATAATCGAACGTTGAACATTTTTTATATAGAATTTTGTTTAGAAAACGTGGTAGATTTCATGGTATGAAGATAGACAATGCTGCAGCTCCCTTTTTGAATTTTGGACTTCTTTCAGCTTCTTTCACGAACCTTTAATTATAATAATTATATTTTTATGTAAAGGCGCTATAGTTCATTATTCCTTCCCGTCAATATTTTAAACGAATGAAGTTTTTATATATGTTAAGCAAAAATCATACTATCCAGTGCTGTAAAACTACAATGTCGGACAAAGGTTTTCGCAGTTTTTTTATCGTGTTAGAACGAAACAGTGTTATATTCTATATAGCAGTGCGATACGAGGGTTACCATAATTTATCCTATCGTGTAAAAGCGAAACCATGTTATTGTCGAAAGGTGTATAGTCGTTTGTAGTCGTGCTATTTGTTGTAGTACTACACTGACGTGGTAATAACGACATCAATAAAAATTTCAGCACGCATAGAAATTACTGGAATCTACAGAAAGCATTTTTCAAATTTTCGTTATAGGCTCAGATAAATTTAGTGGTTTTGATATGTATGTTCGAGAAATGTAACGATGCACCGTTGCAATTCCTCCACAGTTTTTTTACGAACACACACACAATATTTAATCTTATCTTAAACTATAGGTAACCTTTCCTATGATAGAATATATATGTTCCTAGAAAATACAGTGTTGAGAGTGAAACTTTGTTATATGTGTAACGAAACTTTGTTCCAACGTGTTGTTTCTTACATCTTCCTAAAAGCGTACTGCGGGGTATGAAGACGAACCTTCTCGAACCGGGGCACATATGGGCACCCCCATGTTCAATGTTATTGGCGAGATAATTTATTTTATAATGTATATTTTAATTTACATTATATTAAATTGTAACAATAACGTTAAAATATAACGTTAAATCGTAAGAATAACATTGAAACGTATATTTGTAATTGTAACAAATGTATTATGTTCACAATGCTAAGTTAAGATGTAACTATAATATTACATTATAATAAAAATGTTGAATTGTATATTTGAACATGAATTTTACATACAGGGTGTGTTCCGTCCTGCAACGGAATTTTCATGCTGCGTTCGCCTAACTTTCTCCAGGACGAATTACATTTTCTTTTATCCCTAAAAAACATTTTATTTACGGGGAATCTTCGGCTCAGCGAGACAAATTACAGTCTTTCAACGAACAACGTGCAATCGACAAAAGTCACGTTCGTTAGACTACCAATTTCTTAGAGACAATAAGTCATTTCTGTACTTTCGAATAATGCACGCCTTATTGGCAGCATTTTTTATAACAGGGTCGCCAGCACGCGTCGCTTCGTGCTACGTCACTTTTACATCCCCTTCCATCGCCTTGCTGGCCAATCAGTTTCTAGTCTCATGTCCACAAAACTGTATAAAAGTTTATTAAATATTCAACGGAAACGAGTTACACTTCATGATTTTAATTTTGAAATCTATTCCTCGGCTTATGGTGATTATTTTCTACTTTTAAGTAGAAAGCTTTGCTGTAATGCATACATATTTTTATACTGAGAGAAATTATGCCAAGAAACCATTCACAATCACTATTAAGTCCGTGTTCATATAACTATTGCATATTTTCATAAACATGTACATACAAATTTTCATTTTTCATTATTTTTTCTTATTTGAATTAGCAAGGTATGGACTATCGCATCAATATTTTTTCACTTCAAAACAGGATTCAGTAATACGAAAGAATCAAGTAGAAATTCTAATTTTATAAACTCAACATAGAAAATCAAATTTTTTCACATCAACTATACAATTTTAGACTGTTAACACCATGTCCTCCGCAGATCTTAGATATGATTCTTAAGTTTGACGCCGGCATAATAGCTTGGAAATTTTATATTTAACAAAAAATTTCGAAGATAGCGATAATATAAATTCCTAAAATTAAGACATTCCATCCAAGAATTTTCGTACTTAATTCTTAATTAAATAAGCACAATGCAATAGTTAGTTTGCTGCCTTTTAACACCCAAGAAATGTAGTTCAAATGTAATTTCAGTTTTTTAAAATGACATCAAAGTGGTACCACCGGCATACAACAGATAGTTTTTACATGGCACCAGCGTGGTGCCACCGGACGGCATAGTGTTAATAGGGACAATATAATGTGTCGATCGAGATGTCAACAGCTGCAACAAGGAGACTATAGTGCATAGCTGTTCAACATGCTTTGCGGCGGGCACTGGGCATAACCACGGGCTGAGGGCAAAGCTGCGAGGCGAAGCTACGAGCAAGCGTCCTTGCGGAGTAGGGAGGTGAGAAAAAAAAGAGGCAAGTGTTTAGGTTTTCACGTAATCCTCCCACTCTCACTCGCACCCATTATATGGAAAAAGTTCGATGTCCATTCTATTTCACGCAAATTTGACGTTATCTACAGTCGACCTCTGCTATTGTTTTCAGCCACTAATGTAAAATGTAATCAAGTGGAGGGGAGACCCACGAAAAGCTAAGGAAAAAACAAACACTGTTGCCTTCGGAAGTGGGCACAATAGCCCGCCGATCGGTGTTTTCTCTGGATATAAAATCGCAAGTAGTTAAACGTGTGCAAGTAGCCTCAAGTCTCACGTGCAAGTAGTCAAACAGCTCTGCTATAGTGCGTCGATCGAGATGTCACTAGCAGGTTGGGTTTCAGCTATTAGGATAGGGGTTACCGTCCTGTTTGAAGCGCGTATCTTCATTTTATTGCAACTACTGATCGTACTATTCAGACCAGACATTGCGGATCGTGAAAATAGAGTGAAACCCGTGTCGCCGCTAAATCTGCGAAATGAGTACGATTTCGTGGTGGTTGGAGCTGGATCAGCTGGATCAGTGATAGCCAATCGGCTGTCAGAGAATGGCAACTGGACGGTGCTCCTGGTGGAAGTTGGATTGGATGAACCGGAAATCACTGATGTGCCTCTAGCCTTTGCGGTTCCGGAATTCACTCCCTACAACTGGCAATTCAAAACTGAACCGTCGAAGAACTATTGTCAGGCGATGAACAAGCAGCAGTGCAACTGGCCTCGTGGCAGGGTAAAATTGTTGATATAGACATATCATATATACATGTTCAAGGCTAATCAAATCTGTACTCTATTTTGTTAAACTATAAAGTTGTGAGTGCAACTCAATTTTGCTAAATCTCACTGTTCTTAGGAAAATACATGAAAGTAGTTCGATAAACCATTTGTAAGTGACATATGAATTACTCACAAATTTAGCTTAATGATAAGAGCCTATCGGGATCTAAAATTATTTCTAATTACATTATAATTTTTACAACGACGTCACTAAAGGCAAATCGCTCGATTGTGCTGTCAATATCAAGTATTTTGATAAAAATTAAAAATTGTACTTTGTAATATATATACAGAATATGTGGTAGCGTTCAAGACTTCAATTAAAGCGGGTACCATTCGCTTGATAAATCGAGCTACATAATGGCAAACGATTCTTGTGGAAACAAATGACTCTTAAAAAATTGTATCTCAGATAATATTTGTTAGGATTAGTTGGATCTTTCATATTTCAATCGTGAAGTTTTGGCTAATTATAGAGTTTTTACTTCCAATTGAAAAATCGATCTCAAATTTCTCTAGATAAGTAATTTAGAAAGTATAGACCTTAAATATAGAGCCTTTAGAAAATTACAGTTATTGCAAAAATAGCTAAGCACATATTTTTCATAATTGAAAAATTTGATCAAAACACCTGATCAAATTTAATTATCATATAGTGGAGAGCACAACATATTAGGGGAGGTTCGAGTCTTCACTTTGCTGTCTTCACATTCGTTTAGAAAATAGTAATAATAATAATAATAGGTATTTCTGGTGGTATCGTAATCTTAATTAGTGCATACAGTCACTAACAAAATATTTCAAATCGAAACTAGCTACAATATAACGTATTGTAGCCTTCATTAAAGACGGCATATCTCATCACATTGCAAATTTCCCGATTGTTTATGCAATATAGACCTTCAAACCTGAGTAACTTCGTACAGAAAAATATATTCGTTTTTTCGAGACAACATATAATTGTAATATTAGGTATACAAATAAGTTCTAGTCCTCTACTTTTAACCCTCGCCGTACCACGTCCAAATTCTTTCATACTCAGATCTTGAGGCCTGACGTAGCCGTTTGCGTTTGGTTGGGAAAGATTACAGACTTTAATCTGCTTCAGTCACTACAATATTTACTAACGAGTACGCATTCCTTCGATGTTGAAAATATTAAAAAACGTATCGATGACTTTACCGATTCGTAACTAGGCAGTTTTTCTTGCCAGTAGCACGCGCCAGTTGTCCGATAGATGGAGGGAGGTCAGCAAAAGCAACGGGTATTATTGAAATAATTAAAGACATTTGTATATTTCCAGAAATCGAAACAAAAATTTAGAATGGAACGACCAAAACTTACTTGTACACTTAATATAATCAATAAGTAACTGTTTCTATTTAAAATTGAGCATTGCGTAATATAGTTTACCTTAAGTTAACGGGGTTTATATCATAAAATTACCTATTTCTAATTGTTATACAAGATGCAGTCCAACGAACATTTAAATATCACAAACTCCTTCTTAAACACCATAAAATTAAATTCCTTATAATTCCGTAGCACTTTATATAAGCCTTCAAAAATTATGCTTTCATGTACTCAAACTCTGAAAATCAAGGTTCTCGGAGGTAGCAGTGTGCTGAACGCAATGCTCTACGTTCGTGGCAACAAGAGAGACTATGACAACTGGGAAAAACAGGGAAATCCAGGCTGGGACTACGACAATGTGCTGCCTTATTTTAAGAAGTCCGAAGACATGAGGATTGAAGAATACAAACATTCGCCTTATCACCACACTGGCGGTTACTTGACTGTTGAGCACTTCAGGTACCAAACTCCCGTGATCAAGTATCTGGTAAAGGCTATCACAGAACTGGGATACGAGGTCCTGGATGTCAATGGACCTACTCAAACCGGGGTCACCAATTCCCAGGGTACTTTGAGAGACGGGTTACGATGCAGTACTGCGAAAGCTTTCCTCCGGTCTGCTTCCAAGAGGAAAAATCTGGATGTGAGCATACTCTCGACTGTGGAGAAGATTCTGATAAGCGAAGGCATGTTACTTCGAATATTTTAGTTATGTTTTTAAGGGATCATATTGTGATTTAGGCTTGCTGGGAATTGTCTATATTTTCTTGGGCAAGAGGATGGCTTTAGAATTTCTGTTTATAGTTTTTTTTGGATAACCCGGACATTCATTTCAGTTGTTCTTGTACGTTCGTGTATATATGTATATTCACTCGGTAGACGACTCACGCCGCTGTACGGGACCCACGTACTGTACTGTATCTGACTACGCTGATTTCAGATCTGGGCCGATATAATAAACGACAATAAACTACTTTCAAACTTGGTATCGACAGTTGTAAGATTTTCGCTGCTCAGACGGCGCATCACGTCGCATCGTATTCTAAGCTTAAGTTAATCTTACACAGCTTCTACGCACAACAGTATGAATTTTAAGGAAATACATGCAGAATTTAACATCCATAGTCATCTGAACAATAAATATTATACACAGCGTACAACACAACCAACAGATGAAGAACGATATTCGTGTCTTACCATTCTTTCGCATTTCTTGTATTAGCTGATACTTAGTTGCATATCATTTCAAGTTATACAAAGTTTATCTCTCAGCTTTAACAAGAGAAAGCAAGAGACATACATGACAGATATACATTATACACACATGTACTACACGTCTCATGCCCATAAACTTGAAATTAAATATTGAAATTGTTGGAATTAATCCCTCAAATGCTTTCATTCACAGTTCCTATAGAAAATTCATTTCATCTTATGATTTATTTAAATCGACACAGTTTAATTTATACATTTTAGGCAACCTATTAGATATACTCAAACGCTATCGTATGCTTTTCGTTCCAGTAGAATTATTAATTATACATCGAGTCAACACGTCTGCTGTTTCAAAACGATTACGCAACATTTTACAGATCTTCAAACATCTTTAACACGTTCCCTGCCAGACCGTTTTTTGAAGACTTTCCGTTCAAGCCGCGTGGGGCGTATGCGCCCCACGCTTTACATTTGTATTATTTTGTTTCTGGCGTATGCTTTACAATAATTAAAATAGTGCAAAAATCATAATTATCAAGGAAAGGTTGTATAGTTTAACATGCATAACACAGCAAACCAATAAATTTATTTTTCTAGGAATTACTTTAACAAATACCTGGCTGATCATTATTATGCCAAGCGAGTTGCATCCTCACATATAATTTTTTTTATCATGCCTATATTAGTTTAAAATATAACATTTTAGTTAAATTCAAGTTTGTATGCGATTACAAAGGGATGTTACGATGAACTTTGTTAAAACATGGCAAACATAAGTGTGGTTTATCCACACAACTATCGCAGAATGTTACAACTTTTACAGTACTATAGAACTATAAATCAATCCCAGCTTCAGTGAAGCAGTAAGTATTGTGTCAACGACACGCGAATAAATGACTGATCGGAATAAGAGAAATGCAGTTAAAACAAGTTACAGTAAAGAAAAATTGCCCATCACGCCGCGTGGGGCGTATACGCCCCACGATTAAATGAGGGCATCAGCAATAGTATTAAGATGTCCATAATTGACTGCATAATGAATTTTTAAAAAATTCTTCATTTTACAATGATAATACCAAATGGCTTGAACGGAAAGTTCAGCGTGGGGCGTATACGCCCCACGCGGCAGGGAACGTGTTAAACAACTTCCAAGAACAGTCAACATCTCTGTACACATTCGAACTCTTTCAACTATAACATGGTTTCCATTCCAACATTAATTTCAATTTAAGATCTAGTGTCAGTATGTCACTTATCTGTAAACAAATATTTTGTTTGATGTGTGAATGTTTTTCATTGTTCCAGACGACGATTCAAAGAGAGCATACGGCGTCGAATTTCGAGTAGGCCTGATCAGCCATACGGTCACGGCAAAACGCGAGGTCATTTTATCCGCTGGCGCTATACAATCGCCGCAATTGCTCATGCTGTCCGGTATCGGCCCGAAAGATCATCTGGACGGTATAGGGGTGAAGACTGTGTACGATGCACCGGGCGTGGGTGAAAATCTACAAGACCACGTGTCGATCGGTGGTTTGCTGTATTTGATGGACCCACCAGCAAATTATACGGGGAAGGACCCATTCACATTCAATTTGTTCAAGTCCGTCACCGAGAAAGACGTCACGGATTTTGCCCTGGAGGGAAGGGGAACATTGTATGCGTTGCCAATCAGCGAGGCTATGGCATTTATCAATACTAAGTAAGTATTTTATTATAGTGCCAAACAAAAGATTGGGAAATATTATAGAATCTGGATTAATTATTAGCTCGTGAGCAACTAATGCCATTAATAGTGCTAACAGTTAACATATTTTTCAATTTTTAGCAATAACTTTTTCATTAATTGATGGATTCTAATCTAGGAATAATAATGTATGACTGCTTCGATTTCAATCTATATATATCGTCAATGAATTATTCGAAATATTCAGAGTCTTGAATAATCAAAAATCTTATATTATTATAAGATTATTAAGATTATACAGGAGACCGTTTATTCAAGAGAATTTGCCGGCCTATTCACCAATTTGTGTATTTAATCTCTTGAAATGTAATTTTAAGTCATTAAAAATTTCGAATAATTAATTAAAGATGTATTTATGCATGACGTTATTAAACTATTAAAGATAAATCTTTTAATACAAGTATTAGCATATTAAAATCATTAAGGGAAGGAATGCAGCCTAATCATTACTAATAACCCATTTATTGCATTTTACAGTATATGCAAGCTACTGCGCTCGAAAGAATTCCACTAGAATATAATATACACAAAGAGTTAGAAGGTGTTTGAGTCATTATGTTGCTGATTAGTGATCTGTTTATAATTTTGCTGTATATGTAGTGATATGTTTATAATTTCTGTATATAAATTTGCTGCTCTTTTGCTTACCTTTGCAAAGATAGGGATTAAACTCATGAATCTTTATTGTGGAAACATGCTACCTAATCGACACAATTCCTTCTTATCACAGTTTTGATTCGAAGTAACTTTTCTCTTTACGCAAATGTTGCAAACGGCTTTATTAACGAGATATTCAGGAAAAACAAGGATTAGTTGAAGAGTAAGTATTGTCGCACCCCACAGACGCGATAGCGAGCACTACACTGCATTGCTAACGAGGACGGGACACCAGTCGTACAATCTCTCTAATTGGATAGGGTTATTTTACTTCAGGAATACCATTTTTCAGTGGTAACACACAAAAATTTTGTACCACTGTCTTTCAACAAGATATTCAACGAACTCTATAAAATCATCAAATACTTATCAAGCAATTATGTCCTCTTCCTGCGTGTTATCAATAACAAATTCGTGTGAGAATTTATTACTAACACTATATTCACAAATTTATTCAAATCCTGCTTCAGGTACGCGAACAAAACGGACGATTATCCTGATATACAGCTCTTCCTGACAAGCGTAACGGATGCAAACGACGGCGGTGTTTTCTTAAGTCAGATCGGCAATGTGAAGGACGACTTCTACGCAGACATGTTTGAGAATATAATCTACAAACCTTCATATAGTGTCGTTCCGCTTTTGCTAAGACCTCGTAGCAGAGGGTACGTGAAATTGCGTTCGAGTAACGTGGACGAGCATCCGATTATCGTTCCCAATTATTTCCAGGATCCACATGACCTTAACGTTTTGGTAAGTAGGCACTTATTCCCTTTGAGCTACAAAGTATTTTCTTATCTTTATTTCATAATACTACAATTGTTCTATGTACCACGTAATTGCATAATTTACTACGTAATTTATTCATGAATATGATGCGAATCATGAAAATAACGTATTCATGCAAAAGTCTATTTATAAAAAAAAAATAACGAAATTTGAATTATTTGTTTGAATTATTACTACATTAAACAATATACACTAATAAGAGAAACTTTAAACCTGATTTTCTTGGAACCCTATGCCCTATGTGAGACCCTACGCTAGAGAAACCACAAAAAGTTCTCAAATTTAAATCTTTGTATTCTTTTTATCAACTGGCTATTATCAAAGTCCAAAAAGCGAATAAACTGTTAAACTTGATATAATCTTGATAACTAAGAATATTTTGATTCTACTAATAATATGGAAGAATCTCAAATAGAAACACTGTTTGCTTTGAAGACGTAAGTGTTACGATAAACAAACACATTTTTTCCAACTTCATGCTTTCCCCCAATTTCAATTTTATCAATGATTATTTACATGGGAGTTTACATATACAGTTATACTTACGATGCAGCAACTAGGATCGAGATCGGCGTTACGTAAATTACCAAAAAATAACAGATGAATCCGTTCNCTTTTGCTAAGACCTCGTAGCAGAGGGTACGTGAAATTGCGTTCGAGTAACGTGGACGAGCATCCGATTATCGTTCCCAATTATTTCCAGGATCCACATGACCTTAACGTTTTGGTAAGTAGGCACTTATTCCCTTTGAGCTACAAAGTATTTTCTTATCTTTATTTCATAATACTACAATTGTTCTATGTACCACGTAATTGCATAATTTACTACGTAATTTATTCATGAATATGATGCGAATCATGAAAATAACGTATTCATGCAAAAGTCTATTTATAAAAAAAAAATAACGAAATTTGAATTATTTGTTTGAATTATTACTACATTAAACAATATACACTAATAAGAGAAACTTTAAACCTGATTTTCTTGGAACCCTATGCCCTATGTGAGACCCTACGCTAGAGAAACCACAAAAAGTTCTCAAATTTAAATCTTTGTATTCTTTTTAACAACTGTGGCTATTATCAAAGTCCAAAAAGTGAATAAACTGTTAAACTTGATATAATCTTGATAACTAAGAACATTTTGATTCTACTAATAATATGGAAGAATCTCAAATAGAAACACTGTTTGCTTTGAAGACGTAAGTGTTACGATAAACAAACACATTTTTTCCAACTTCATGCTTTCCCCCAATTTCAATTTTATCAATGATTATTTACATGGGAGTTTACATATACAGTTATACTTACGATGCAGCAACTAGGATCGAGATCGGCGTTACGTAAATTACCAAAAAATAACAGATGAATCCGTTCGTGACGTCACGGATGAACAGTTCAGCAGAGTAGGTACTAAAGGGCAGCGTCGTCGACCGCCGCGATATGACCTGATTAATCATAAACGTGAAAGCTTCTCTGGAATCCCTGCTGACCTGTAGCTCTACCCTGCTAAGGTGGTTATCCGTGACGTCAGAGATGGAAACACGTGACATTTTAGGAATGTCATGGCGACAACGATCAAGAGCTACTCAAAGACTTCTCCGTCAACTTGTATGCAAAAGAATTATACATGGATGGGTATTAAAATTGCAAAAAAAATATAATCTTGACAGAAACTGTTCGTTTATCGTAATATTTACCTCTTGAAATTATGAAGTGCTTTCTGTGTTTTTCTGAAAGTGTTCCTTTTTGAGATTCTTTGATATTATCAGCAGAATCAAAATATTTTTAGAGATGAAGGTTATGATAAGGTTAGCAGTTTAGTCCCTTTTTGGATTTTGATAATAGCCAATTCTTAAAAAGTATACAAAGTTTGAAGTTTGAGAATTTTTTGTTTTCCTAGCGTAGAGTCTCAGGACGTAGGGTTCCGAAAACCTCAGGTTTAAAGTTTCCCTTAATGGTATTTGTATATGGTTTTTACTTTTACATTTTCACACATTATCCAAAACGGATATAGAATATTCTATACCAATTTCTATAATAACAATTAAATTACAATAATAATTAAATTACAATAATAGTTTAATTGTAAATATAATTAAATTATAGTAATAATAATTAAATTATAATCTCTAGAATAGTATTATTGTATAATAATCTGAACTCTCAAAACACAGACAAAATTAGTCAAGTAGTAATATTTGATATTCTAATTTTTCGATTAATTTGATTCGACGAGTTAAATCTATTTCTATGGTAATCAAAATGATTTTCTGATGTTAACAGATAGAAGGTGCAAACTTCATATACAATCTCAGCCAGACACCATCTTTGAAAAGTCTGAACGCCAGAGCGAACCCAAATCGAATCCCAGAATGCTCGTCTTTCAAGTTTCCATCGGACGATTACTGGAAATGCCAAGCAAGATTTTACACATCAACGATCTATCATCCATGTGGGACTTGCAAGATGGGCCCAGCGACTGACAAGATGGCCGTCGTGGATCACAGACTTAAAGTACACGGAATTAAGGGACTGCGAGTGGTTGACGCGTCGATTATACCGAATATTACCTCTGGAAACACGAATGCGCCGGTTATTATGATTGCCGAGAAAGCTGCAGACATGATCAAGGAGGACTGGAAATAGTACATATAGATTATAGATTGTGCTTAACCGTGTCGAATTGTCGAAATGGAAAATCTTGATGCTATAGACGCTAACGAAATTGTGATTTCTCGAAGAAATTGTCTATACTGTTTTCAATTACACATGATCAAAAAGCTCAAGTGATAAAGTGATACCTTGTTTCAATATTTAAAAAACTGGTCCATTTTTTTAATTTTAATAAATTTCATTCTAACAAATAATCTCATAATATGGTTGAAGGCAATTAATTATTTTAATATTTCAAGAAAATATCTTATTTAGAGCAATTTGTTAATTGCAAATTACTCCACCTTTTTTAAATAATGATGAAATCGATATATTGTTCTCTTGTATCAAGAAAATAATCTGGTTAGTGATACATTTATTGTTTCCAAGCTATCCAACAGTTTAAGACGTAATATTTTGTCTGAATTAGTAAAATTTGTTCTTGGCATAATTAAGTATTGAAAATAAAATAAACTGTTATGCAAAGATGACTACTGTTGTTTACATTGATCTTGCGCTATTTGGAAGTGATTTTTGCGTTACAGACTTCATTTTCATAACGAATTCTTCTACGACGATGGCTGGGTCAAGTTGGACCAAGTTCAATTACAGCGTTGGTGGCGATCGAGGTTCAAAGAGATTGATTTAGTTTATAATACGGTGAATTTTGAAAATGAAGAGACATCGAAAATGTATTCTGATTTACAATTAGTTTGTTAATGCAAGTTGACAAAGAATAATACAGATTTGATGAAGTTAACCATTACTGTTTCTATTACCAAACTATTTCTTTTAATTAAAACATATCTTTTGCAAATCGAGAATAATTTTAAATATCCTAAGTGCTAAATCTCTTTACATAGTATTAAGTATTTTTATTTCGAAATTATATTTTGGTAACATTGAATTTTCGTTATTTAAGATTCGAATCTTTTGAAATCGAAGATCGATAGATGGAAGTCTCTTTAAAAGTGCCACAGAAGCGACCGCAATTTTATATATCCTTCAATAAATTATTTGGTTCAATATTATGTTTAATATTATACTACTTTTACATACAGTACAATCATCAAAAAACCAGTTAGTAAAGAACCAAGAATTTTTTAAGATGTTAGTTCGACTGTTTTATATAGTTGTTCAATATTTCCTTATTTTTTAAAAAATATCTTCTCTTCATTTCATAGGTCTTGGCATGTTCTAGCAACTCAATTGCATTTCCTGTGTCAGAATTTTCACAGACTAACGTGTTTCGTAAAGTTGCAACCGTATTTGATTGCTTTCGAGTCGTGTCATGTTGCCTCTGAATTGCTTTCGAATCGTTTTTATTTTAGCACTACTATGTATTCATATTAATGTACACCGGCATACTGGCCGCTGCCTTTTTTTTGCAGACCGCCCCGAATTTCTATAAAAACAAACCGCGAGGCCCGATGTATCGCGTCTTAGTATTCTCAGATCTGTTTAATATTATGTTTAATTATGTTATTTTAATTTTTGTTTTTCAGATCCGAATTCACACAGTTCCGCCGTTCGAATATTTCTGGGAGAAATTACTGCATCTCCCTTTGTATTCATAACCTGTCGTTGCTTACACGAATATTTTTACAACTCATAATGGAACGGTGAAGATTTTTTATATCTATTTCTATTTAAATTCGCTTTGGTTGCATTGAATGATTGATATTATTCGATGCACTGGCTGAAATTTGGCCACTTTTACTGTGACAATAATATTATAACATATTAATATGATAATAATAGTATAATAGTAATATAATAACATTATAATAATGCTCCAATAATGCTACAACTGTAGTGACATTATAATAATGCTACAGTGATAATGTCATCGTTGAACGCCCGATAAGTGAATAAACTGTGGCGGCTACCTCCAGACCTGCCAGCAGAGGGCTCCTCTTCCCGCTAGTAGCCGATCCGCCTCGATCCCTATATATACACCGAGACTTCGTCCTACCCTTACGTCTAAGGCAAGGGCCCGCTAGGATAGCCTTACCGATGAGTCCTCTAGCGGGCCCCGGACGAAACGTCTCCCCACTCCTTTCCTTTCCCATCTCCACGANTAATATTATGTTTAATTATGTTATTTTAATTTTTGTTTTTCAGATCCGAATTCACACAGTTCCGCCGTTCGAATATTTCTGGGAGAAATTACTGCATCTCCCTTTGTATTCATAACCTGTCGTTGCTTACACGAATATTTTTACAACTCATAATGGAACGGTGAAGATTTTTTATATCTATTTCTATTTAAATTCGCTTTGGTTGCATTGAATGATTGATATTATTCGATGCACTGGCTGAAATTTGGCCACTTTTACTGTGACAATAATATTATAACATATTAATATGATAATAATAGTATAATAGTAATATAATAACATTATAATAATGCTCCAATAATGCTACAACTGTAGTGACATTATAATAATGCTACAGTGATAATGTCATCGTTGAACGCCCGATAAGTGAATAAACTGTGGCGGCTACCTCCAGACCTGCCAGCAGAGGGCTCCTCTTCCCGCTAGTAGCCGATCCGCCTCGATCCCTATATATACACCGAGACTTCGTCCTACCCTTACGTCTAAGGCAAGGGCCCGCTAGGATAGCCTTACCGATGAGTCCTCTAGCGGGCCCCGGACGAAACGTCTCCCCACTCCTTTCCTTTCCCATCTCCACGACCTTCGAACCGCCGCCAAAAGTCGTACGTAGTCGCGCTACTTGTAGCACAATACTGGCGTATGAATAATAACATCGATCAAATTTTCAGCACGCAGAAAAGTTGCCGAGATTTACGAAAGGTATTTTGTATATTTTCATTATAGGCTCAATTAAAAAAGTTAAAAATGAGAATTTTTTAATTTCGTTCGCCATTCAAAGTCATAGCAAAAAAGTATTTTAATCGTCATCTAGTAGACCATTCCCTTTATCATCTAAAAAAATTCAAGTCATTTAGTTCAGTTTCAAAAACGTTATTGCGCTTTAAAAGGTGTTTTCCAACTTTTGTTTGTAAGTATATATCCGAAATGTGAACAGCCGATATGCTTCACTTCTCCCGTTAAACTAGCGTACATTGTTCATCGTGTACTCAAGTGGGGCCAGACTTCATTACATTTCTTGAAGTATGCTAATTGCGTCATCTATTATCAATATAGAACACCTGTATAAAGGATAGGTCAAGGTTGTTTTGATCTATGACCCTATACATGCCGCGTTAAGACTCCTCGCTCACGTACTCTAGTCTCTAATGCTCGTTTGTAACTGTAAAATAAATGTCATACGACTTTCGTCTTCAATTTCTGCGCATATTTCACAAATATCCTACAGCAGTAATTGTATCATATTCATCAGTTGTTGTATTGATAGGTAAAACCACGGGGAAATGCATTTCGTTTGGTGATGAGATCAGCCATTTCCTTCCTCATAATTTAATAGACCAAAATTTCGTTCGACGACAGAGCACTGACTAGAAATTAGATCAGTTGAACTTGATGGCCTTGAGATATAAGTTGGAATGTATTCTAGAGAATTTGTCTAAACCTTTTGCAAGGCTCTGAAGGTACGAAAATTGTAACGATGCACTGTTGCAATTCCTCGCGAACAATATATTATCTTATCTTAAACTACAAGAAACGCTCGTCTAACATGGTAGATACGTTCCTAGAAAAAAAAAATGTCGTGTTATTAAAAACTTACTAAAAACAAAAAACGAAAACTTATTGGAAACAGACATTTCTTTTTAATTTCATATAAGCAACTTAATTTTTATTAAAAATTTAAACGTATGTATAACACAAGACAAAATAAAGAAATATTATTTTCATTTAAAATGTAACTCTAATTTAATAAATTTCTTCCTCATCACTACTCAGTACAGTCAAACCATCGCGTCGGTTGAATTGGTTGAATCGATTTCGCTTTCCGATCCTTCTTTTTTTCATTAAATTTTTTGCACCTTCTATCCTCTTTAAAATATCTGTAATTTTGGTTTGTTTGCTGGTTCTAACATGGTCATTGTAGATTTCATGGTATGAAGATAAACAATTTCACAGCTCCCTTTTGAATTAATTATAATAATCATATTTTCATGTAAAGGTACACACTATGGTTCATTATTCCTTCCCGTCATTATTTTACGGTAATTAAACTTTTAAATACGTGAAACAAAAATCATATTATCCAGTGCTGTAGAAATACAGTGTCGGTCTCAGCTTTTCGTAATTTTCTTGTCATGTTAGAGCGAAACCGTGTTATACGATGCCATGTTGTAGCACACCCAAATGCACCTCACCGTGTTTTTACCAAATTTCTGATGTGTCAAAAATATAAGAAAATTAAATTATCATTCTGCTTCATTCACAATTTCCGACCAAAATACGAAGTGAATTCCATATTCTTTGGAAGCTGTTCCATCAAACCAATTAATTGAATTCAGTAATCCAGAAATTTTTCAACATTTCTATTTGCTATATAACTATAGAAAACTTTGCAAACCAGTTATAAACTGACTAATCGGATATAGGGAAACGAATTCGATTGTAGATTCATTTTGCAATGGGAACCTAGTTTTTATCTTGCAGAATGCATTATATTGCATCGCGGGATGCCATGGACTCACACAACTGTAGAAGTAAAAAGTGAGAAACTATCTGCTGGCGTGAATTGATTATGAATTTTCCAATTGACACATATAAAATTATTATTTTCCTGGTTCTTGAATCGTTGAAAATATTCAGGCTATTTGAATTGTTGTTTCTATTTTCAGATATATGCGTTGAACACTTTCGACCAGAGCCTTTTAATTACAACGCAATTAGTATTTCATAATAAAGCAGATGAAAATTAAGGAAGGTTTCACTCATCACTTCGTTGATTTCGCGTATATACGAAAATTGCACACCATCAAATTCTGTATATTTCAATGACAACAAGTTGCACTTAATAATTTTCATCTTGAAATTTATTCCTCAATTAACGGTGATTACTTTTTTCCTTTAATTCCAAAGCTTTGCCGCAATGCATGAATATTTCTACACACCAAGAAATTGTCCCAGAAAGCAATACCCAAACACTATTATGTCCGTCTTCATTTAACTTTTGCATATTCTTATAAACATGGTTCGATTTGAATCTTTTTTTATTTTAATTAGCGAGGTATGGACTATCGCATCAATATTTCTACACTTTAAAACAGGATTCGGTAATACCGAAAAATCAAATACAAATTCTTATTTTGTAGCCGCAACGTAGAAAAACAAATATTTGATCACGTTAATTATACAACTTAAACTGTTAATAAGGATAATTTAGTGCAGAGCTGTTCAACATGCCTTGCGATGGGCATCGGGCAAAGCTACGGGCAAGTGTCTTAGCGGAGCGGGGACGTGAGAAAAAAGAGGGAAGTGTTTAGGTTTTCATGCCATCCTCCCTCTCACACTCGCATGCATTGCCATTATATCCTCATTCGTCTGATGCTCATTCTAATTCACTCAATTTCAACGTTATTTACAATCGACCTCTGTCAATGGCTTCAGCCAATAACGTAAAATGTAGTTAAGTGGAGGGGAGATCCACGAGAAGATAAGGAAGGGACATGGATGCCCAAGGAAGTTAGCACTATAGTCCGCCGATCGGTGTTTGCCCTGGACTTAAAATCGCTGCCCTCACAGCAAGGAGTTAAACAGGCCTGTTACAGTGCGCCGATCGAGATGTCAGTAGGAGGTTGGCTCTCAACTTTTAGGATAGCGGGTACCCTCTTGTTCGAAGCACGTCTCGGCATTTTATTGGAACTACTGATCTTACTATTCAGACCGGACATTGCCGATCGTGAACATAGAGTGACACCCGTGTCACCGACCAATTTGCGAAATGAGTACGATTTCGTGGTGGTCGGAGCTGGATCAGCTGGATCAGTGATAGCCAATCGGCTGTCAGAGAATGGAAAATGGACGGTACTTCTGCTGGAAGCTGGGCCGGATGAACCGAAAATCTCTGATCTGCCTGCAACGTTTCCACTTCTGCAATTGTCCCCTCTGGACTGGCAATTCAAAACTGAACCGTCGAAGAACTATTGTCAGGCAATGAAAAATCATCAGTGCAACTGGCCACGTGGCAGGGTAAAATTATTGATATAGTAATGTCCACGTTCAAAACATATCAAATCTGTATTTTATTTCGTTCAAGTACAAAGTTGTGAGAGTAATTCAATTTTGCTAAATCATACTTATCTTAGGAAAATGCGTGAAAGTAGTTCGTGAATCCATTTTTAAGTAGCATATGAATGACTCACAAATTCATCTTAATGATAAAAAGGTATCGAGATCTAAAATTATTTCTGATTGCATTGTAATTTTTTATTTGTTTTTTCTGTGAGTTGGTAGTATCAAGTATTTTGATGAAAATTAAAAATTGTACTTTGTAACATATGTATACAGAATGAGGTAGAGTTCAAAATTTCAACAACCGAGGGTAGCATCCGCTTGAAAAATAGAGAAAACTGTGCATTTTAGGGCTTATATATCTGCAACTTTATTCAATGTTATATTTTACATGATACAGTAGATGTAAAATGTGAGGGAATTTAAGACATCGCTGTAACAAATTTTCTTTCGTTCCGATTATACAGGTACTATTTTGCAGTCAATTTTAGACCTTTAGATCAAAAGTAATTGTGCACATAATATTAGGGGAGGTTTAAGTCATCACTTTGCTTCGATCACTGCATCACTTCCCAGCGGACACACATTACATCGATGTCGGAAACATTACAAAATGTATCGACAACTTTACCGATTCGAAACCACGCATTTTTTTTTTTACTAATGGCATGTGTCAGTTGTCATAGATGGAGGATGGTCGGAAAATGCAATGGGGATTATTTAAATGATTAAAGACATTTGTATATTTCCAAAAATCGTAGCAGAAGCTTAGAACGTAACGACCAAAACTTATTTTACGTCCAATATAATCGATAAATAAAGGATTCCATTTAAAATGAAGCATTGTATGATATAGTTTGCCCTAAGTTGCCCTAAGTCCAACGAATGTTTAAATATCTCGAACTCCTTCTGAAACACCATAAAATTAAATTCCTTATAATTCCGTCTAACCTTATATAAGCCTTCAGAAATTATGCTGACATGTATTCAAACTCTGAAAATCAAGGTTCTCGGAGGTGGCAGTGTGCTGAACGCAATGCTCTATATCCGTGGCAACAAGAGAGACTATGACAGCTGGGAAAGTCTGGGAAACCCCGGCTGGGACTACGACAGTGTGTTGCCTTACTTCAAGAAGTCTGAAGACATGCGGATCGCAGAATACAAAAATTCACCTTATCACAACACTGGCGGTTACTTGACCGTCGAGTACTTCAAGTACCAAACTCCCGTGATCAAGTATCTGGTAAAGGCTACCACAGAATTGGGATACGACGTCGTGGATGCTAATGGAGCTACTCAAACCGGGGTCACCAATTCCCACGGTACTTTGAGAGACGGGTTACGATGCAGTACTGCGAAAGCTTTCCTCCGGCCTGCTTCCAAGAGGAAAAATCTGGATGTGAGCATACTCTCGACTGTGGAGAAGATTCTGATAAGCGAAGGCATGTTACTTCAAATATTTTAATTATGTTTTTAAGAGATCATATTGTGATATAGGCTTGTTGAGACTTGTCTATATTTTGAAGGGCAAGAGTCTGATTTTAGAATTTCTGTGAATTCATTTTAGTGTTTCTTGTACCATCAGTTTACTTATATATACTATTACAATTATTTCCAACATTGCATATTCAATATTAACTCTTTGGTAAATTATTTGGTATGTCTATTTAATAAAAATTATTTTATAGTGCTCACGTTGTTAACTCGCGTGTTACTAATTTTCTAAAGGTGTGTGCATACTCGAGCTATCGAATTTGGTCTAGTTAGATAGAGTATACGAACGCTCGGATACTTCGACACAATTAGGATTTCATTTCGTCTTGTGTAACGACTTTTTCTAACTACACTGATTTCAGATCCAGATCGACATAGAAAACAATAATGTATTACTTTAAAACTTGCTATCGACAGATTTAAGATTTTCGCTGCTCAGTCCGCGCATCGCGTCGCGTTGTATTCCAACCCTAATTTAATCTTACACAGCTTCTACGCCCAATAATATGAATTTTAAGGAAACATATGTAAAATTTAACATTCTTACTCATCTGAATAATAAATATTACACACAGCATACAACACAACATTAGATAAAGTATGATATTTACGTGCGACTAATACGTTATTTTGAATGCTTAACTTTACCTTCTTACCAGTTTTTCACATTACTTGTATTTGCTAATACTTAGTTGCATANAAGAGACTGATTTTAGAATTTCTGTGAATTCATTTTAGTGTTTCTTGTACCATCAGTTTACTTATATATACTATTACAATTATTTCCAACATTGCATATTCAATATTAACTCTTTGGTAAATTATTTGATATGTCTATTCAATAAAAATTATTTTATAGTGCTCATGTTGTTAGCTCGCGTGTTACTAATTTTCTAAAGGTGTGTGCATACTCGAGCTATCGAATTTGGTCTAGTTAGATAGAGTATCCGAACGCTCGGATACTTCGACACAATTAGGATTTCATTTCGTCTTGTTTAACGATTTTTTCTGACTACACTGATTTCAGATCCAGACCGACATAGTAAACAATAATGTGTTACTTTAAAAGTTGCTATCCATAGATTTAAGATTTTCGCTGCTCAGTCCGCGTATCGCGTCGCGTTGTATTCTAACCCTAATTTAATCTTACACAGCTTCTACGCCCAATAATGAATTTTAAGGAAATTATGTAAAATTTACACACAGCATACAACACAATAACAGATGAAGTATGATATTTACTTGCGACTAATACGTGATTTTGAATGCTTTACTTTTACTTTTGAAAACATCACTTTCTTACCAGTTTTCCACATTACTTGTATTTGCTAATACTTAGTTGCATATCATTCCAAGGTCTACAGAGTTTATCTCTCAGCTCTAACAACAAAAAGGACTAAACATATACTACAGGCATACATGATACACACACATACTATACACAAGATACAAGTCCGACCTCCTTCTCATAAACTTGCATATGAATATTGGAATTTGTTCAGAAACAAAGGTGGTGTCCTATAGTATTTTAGAGATTATTGAAGACCACCAAGGAACTTTGAGAAGTATCAAACACGCACACATTCAACTGCTTTCGATCATACTTTCAATTGAAAATTAAAATCATCATGTTTCTTCTTTCCAAACTGTTTCATTTCACGTCTTATTTAAACGAGCGTAGTATAATTTAAACATTTTAAGCAATGTATTAGATATACTCAAACGTTGTCACATGCATTTCGTTCCAGTAGTATTATCAACTGAACATCAAGGGTCAACACGTCTCCTATTTTCAAAACGTTTATGTAACATTTCACAGATCTTCAAACATCTGAAGAAAACTAACAAGAACTTTCAACATTTTCAAACACCTTCGAACTCTTTCAAATGTAACATGGTTTCCTTTCGAAAATTGATTTTAATTTAAGATCTAGAGTCAGTATGTTACTTGTCTGTTAACAAATATATAATATTATGTTTGAATGTGTTCCATTGTTACAGACAACGATACGAAGAGAGCATATGGCGTCCAATTTCGAGTAGGCCTGATCAGCCATACGGTCACAGCAAAACGCGAGGTCATTTTATCCGCTGGCGCTTTACAATCGCCGCAATTGCTCATGCTATCCGGTGTCGGTCCGAAAGATCATTTAGACGCTGTAGGGGTGAAGACTGTGCACCATGCACCGGGCGTGGGTGAAAATCTGCAGGACCACGTGGCAATGGCTGGTATGACTTACTTGATAGACCCGCCAGCAAATTATACGGGGAAGGACCCATTCACATTCAATTTGTTCGAGTCTATCACCGAGAAAGACGTCGTGGAATTCGCTGTGGAGCGCAAAGGAAAATTGTATGCTTTGCCAATCTCTGAGGCTATGGCATTTATTAATACTAAGTAAGTATCTTATTATAGTGACAAACAACTACATATGTTGGAAAATTTTTATGATCAGTGATGGAGATTGGGAAATGTTATAGAACTTGGTTTAATTAACAGCTCGTTGTCAACTAACGGCATTAACGATGCTAACAGTTGTCCTGCACAAGATACGTACTTCAGAATTCGCCATTTTATAATGAATAATTTAGTAATTAATAACAATAATTTTTTCATTCATTGATGGATTAAAATCTATGAAGAATAATGTAAGACTGCTTAGATTATAATGTATATATGTTGTCAATAAATTATTTGACATTTTCACAGACGTGAATAATCAAATGTAATAGTAAACATGAGACCGTCTATTGAGAGGAATTTGTCGGTTTATTCACCAATTCATGTATTTAAGCTACTACTGAACTATTAAATTGAATAATTTATTGAAGATTTATTTATGCATGTTGTTATTAAACTGTTGAAGTTAAATCTTTTAATATAAGTTTCAGCTTATTAAACTTATTATGTGAAGGAAAAAAGAATGCAATGAAAGCAAAATGCAGTCAATTAATTATTAATTACCCATTAATTGCATTTTCCAGTATATAACAGGTACTACTTCAAAAAAAATCCTCTATAATATAATATACACAAAATTAGAAGATGTTTCAGTCATTATGTTGCTGAATACTAGTCTGTTTATAAAACAGAGACTTTTAAAGTCTACTTTTGCTTACCTCAGCAAAGATAGGAATTATACTCATGAATCTTTATTGTGGAAACATGTTACCTAATCAACTAGATTCTTTGTTATCACAGTCTTGATTCGAGGTAACTTTGATCTTTACGTAAATGATGCAAACCGCTTCATTAACGAGATATTCTGGAAAAATACGGCTCAGTCGAAAAGCGAGTACGCGATAACGCCCCACCGTCGCGATAGCGTGCACGACTATGCATTGGTTCCGAGGACGGGACACCAGTTGTTCAACCTCTCTAATTGGTCAGGGTTATTTTACTTTCAGAATACCATTTTCCAGCGGTAACGCCAGTCCTGAAACACCTTGTATAATCACTAAAAATTTTGTTCCACTGACTTTTTAACAAGAATCGATCAACTACGTAAATCCTCAAATCCTTATGAAAAATTCACGTCATCTTCCTGCGTGTTATCAGTAACAAATTTGTATGACAACTTATTACATGATTTATTCAAATATTCAAAAAATTGTAGATATTATGAAACAATCAAATATTCACATATTTATTCGAATTCTTCAGGTACGCGAATAAATCGGATGATTATCCTGATGTACAACTCTTCCTGTCAAGCATAACGGATGAAGCCGACGGCGGGATTTTCGTAAGTAGGTCCAGCAATGTGAACAACGACTTCTACGCGGAAATGTACGAGAATATAATTTACGAGCCTTCGTACGGTTCCATTCCCCTTTTGCTAAGACCTCGTAGTAGAGGGTACGTGAAATTGCGCTCCAGCGACGTAGACGAGCTTCCGATGGTTGTACCCAATTACTTCCACGATCCACATGACCTTAACGTTTTGGTAAGTAGGCTGTTTAAAAATTCAAATGAGTATTTTCATCCAGTAGTTTGAAAAGATCGATTTTCTTTTAATTATCTACTTTCCATCATGACCACTACAATTGTTAGTAAACACTAATTTTTTCTTAATTGCTTATATGCTGAAAACAAGAAAAAATCTACAGTGTTTTATGAAATAAAGTAACTACTTAATTTGTCGAAAATGTCGAATGTCACTTTAATGGACACAGAAACTGTCACACTTATGCTAGAGAAACCACAACAAATTATCTCTTTTTACGAACTAGCTATTATAAAAATCTAAAAAGAGAATAAACTAAAGGACACTAAAAATATTTTCATTCTGCTAATAATATGGAAGAATCTCAAACAGAAACATAGTTTGCTTTGAACATGCTTGACGATGAACATATACATGCTTTTTTAAACACGTGCTTCCTCTCGATTTCAATTTTATCAATGTTTATTTACATTGTTGTTTGCAATGTTTATTTATACTGCTATCATTACGATGCAACAACTACAATCAGGATCACCGTTGGGTATTTTTCCTCAAATGTCACCTGAATGCGTTCGTGACTTCACGAATGAGCAGTTCAGCAGAGTAGGACAAGAGGGCAGCGTCGTCGACCGACGCGACATGACCTGATCAATTACAAACGTGAAAGCTTCTCTGATAACCCTGTTGACCTCTAGCTCTACCCTGCTAAACTGGTTATCCGTGACGTCAGGGATGGAGTTACGTGACATTTGAGGAAACTCACGGCGAGAGAGATCAAGAGCTAGTCAAGGACTTATTCGTGATCTTAAATGCAAAAGAATAATACATCGACGGTTCTAAAATTACAAAAAATATAACCTCGAGAGAAACTGTACGTTTATCGCAACACTTGCCCCGTAAAATTAAAACGCGTTGTCAGAATGCGAAACATTATCGGAATATGTGTATATTCTTCGATATACAGGGTATTCCACAATTATTTTAACAGCCAAAAATGGGGGTTAGCTGAGGTCATTTGAAGTAACTTTTTCCTTTGCGAAAATGTAATCCGCGGCTTTGTTTACAAGTTATTAATGAAAAACACAGACCAATGAGAGGCGAGGGCGCGAATTATAACATGGTCGATCGATCGAGTTCAACGTGCTTCGAACATGGAGCGCGATAGAACATGGGGTGGGGGGGCGCCGAGGTGCGTTCGAATCAATGAACAAGTCACGGTGCGTGAACTTCCGAATCTTATTTTACTACGCCACAGTGATAATTTTAAGAAAAACGCTATTCGTCCTTATTTCAGAATGTCTGAAGAATACTTACTAATTTTTCGAATCTGAAATAGTAAGTAATTTAACCGTGATGGCCGTTTTAATTGTCTGGTGCGTATGACACCTCGTGTGGAACATTTGAAATTTTTAAGCAAAGTGTACAGTGAAGATTAACAAAGTACGTAAATGATATGTTAACTTAAAAAATTCCGTGTCCGAACGCAGTTCAACGAACGATTCGCAAAGCTAATTTAATAATAAATAATCGCGTTAAGAGACGTAAGGGATTTGTTTGTTACAGAAATATGAAAGATATTATCAATAAACAACTCACCCAATTAGTTGTAAATCCACTTCATGCACGGAAATGTGTGTAGGAGGATAGTGCACTGACCTCGTACAATGTATGATGAACTGCACAGCTGATCTTTATCCGGCAGTGACGAAAAGAAGGATGTCTCCGGGCAGACAATTTCAACGTTTACTTTCACTGCATTAACACTAAACACTGATCACTTATCAATAATATTTATGGATGAACTTTCCTGGGTTAATATGTATGGCGCTGAAAAGAGCCGATTGTTTTATGCGACGCGTTCGAAGTTCTTATTGTTAAGAACACATACGCATTGATGGGACGAATTGCAGAAGACTAGCACGATGGCCGACAATGTCTGCGTTCGATGGGAAACAGTTGAAATTCATTCGTAGGAAAACGAAACACTGTCGGCCATCGTGCCAGTATTCTACAGTTGGTCCCGTCAATGTGGTACGTGCCGTTAACGGTGGGACTTTCGAACGCGTCGCATAAAACAATCGGCTCTTTTTAGGGCCATACATATTAACCCAAGAAAGTTCGTCTATAAATATTATTGATAAGTGATCAGTGTTTAGTGATAATGCAGTGAAAGGAAACGTTGAAATTGTCTGCCCGGAGACATCCTTCTTTTCGTCACCGTCGGATAAAGATCACCTGTGCAGTTCATCATACATTGTACAAGGTCAGTGCACTATCCTCCTGCATACATTTCCGTGCATGAAGTGGATTTACAACTAAATGGGTGAGTTGTTTGTTGATAATATCTTTCATATTTCTGTAACAAACAAATCCCTTACGTCTCTTAACGCGATTATTTATTATTAAATTAGCTTTGCGAATCGTTCGTTGAACTGCGTTCGGACACGGAATTTTTTAAGTTAAAATATCATTTACGTACTTTGTTAATCTTCACTGTACACCTTGCTTAAAAATTTCAAATGTTCCACACGAGGTGTCATACGCACCAGACAATTAAAACGGCCGTCACGGTTAAATTACTTACTATTTCAGATTCGAAAAATTAGTAAGTATTCCTCAGACATTCTGAAATAAGGACGAATAGCGTTTTTCTTAAAATTATCACTGTGGCGTAGTAAAATAAAATTCGGAAGTTCACGCACCGTGACTTGTTCATTGATTCGAACGCACCTCGGCGCCCCCCCCCCCCCACCCTATGTTCTATCGCGCTCCATGTTCGAAGCACGTTGAACTCGATCGATCGACCACGTTGTAATTTGCGCCCTCGCCTCTCATTGGTCAGTGTTTTTCATTAATAACTTGTAAACAAGGCCGCGGGTTGGATTTTCGCAAAGGAAAAAGTTATTTCAGATAACCCCGCTGGCCCTAATTTTTAGCTGTTAAAATAATTATGGAACATCCTGTATATATATATTGAATATTCAATGTGGTCCAGTTATTTTGATAAGCCTCTATAGTAATCGCAACTGAAAACAAAATCAATGTTTGTTAAGTATTAATATTTTATATTCTAATTTTTTCAATTATTCTGATTCGACGA